AATAGAGCGAGCAGGATAGGAATTTCTCTATAAGCGGCTGTGTTAAGGCTATTGCACCGCGCAATAGGGCGACCCTGCAGCGCAATAGACTTAAGACAGCCACTTATGGAGAAATTCCTATCCTGCTTGCTCTATTGCGCTCCATGCTGCAGGATCGCCCTATTGCGCGGTGCAATAGCCTTAACACAGACGCTTATGGAGAAATTCCTATCCTGCTCGCTCTATTGCGCTCCATGTGACTGCAGCCTTAGTGTGCTCAGACATTTTGTATTCATTGGGTTGTGTTATCATCTATGAGATAACCTTCGGAAATAATTATAGTCATTAATTATCACATGATTTCTAGATTGTTGTCTTCTCTATTCATATGTGAGGTTATTTTAAAATAGACACCACGTTTAACGAGCATAAGAAACGTCTGAGCAGCACAAACTGTACAAGCGAAACAAATGAAACGAACAAACATAATAAACGAACAATAAAAATTAAACGTGCCCGAAGATATACAGTCATACAGCGATATAGCGTTACAACAACTGGACTCAGAAACAGGAAAGACCTGTACACCATTATCAAGCAGAAGAGTCTGGGACTGACTGGGGTTCACTAAACCTAGCTTTTAAGAGCAGAGCAGAAAAAACAAAATGCTATATAGCCCTCTCTTATGTTTAAACCTCGTTTTTTAGAATGCGTTCTGTATAAGTACTGGCCGTTTAATCTAAGTATTTAGATAATGTGTAGATAACTGGTTAGTGTGAGAAAGATAACATGTCATACTTTTCCTCTTGCACTTTGTGACACCCATAGACATATAAAGAATAGACAGCTTAGGGCAGTCAGTCTTTCTCTCTTGCACACTCGGGGAGCGAGGCAGACGGACGGAGAAGGGGCACAGTTGCATGTATATGTAAACATATATATGTATGCATGATGTTTGTTTACTCAGTAGCAGACGATGCAGTGCACAGGCGACAGCTGTATTATACGTGCTTTAATTCATTTATGTCAACAAAATAAATATATCTTATTTCTCAAATTACCCCAATGCCTAGATGATAAATGATTTCTAAATAATTTAAAAGAATAATTAAAAATTAAAGTTTTGTATAATTTATTAATGTACTATTGACCAGAAAACAATGTAATTTTATTATTTTTCATCCTGATTCTTTTCATTTCATCCTTGTATCGCGAGCACTCGTTGTGGATACGTAAATTGAAGAATTCATTTAATATAATCTTCATGAGTTGTGTTCTATGATCAAACATTGATAGCTGATCATATATATGTGATCTCCATCATTAAAAAGTGTTCTTGGCAGTTGTCTAAAATATTTACTAATCAGAAAATCTATGATCTTTTTTTCTGTAAACAGATTATTCTTATACATTCTTAGAACCCTTTCAACTGTCTTACAGATAGTGTTAAAAAAAT